CCTCAGTCCTGATGACTGAGCCAACTTCTCCCAGAATTTTCCTCAGTCACTTCTCATCAGTGCTGTCTGTTCAAAGGTAAGGTTACCATAGTCCTACTGTCTCATTAGTGAGAATTTCATCTTGACATCTGGAACTCAGTAGGAAAACGCAACTCATTGCTAAAGACATTGAAAAAGGCCCTGCTCAACTTTTCACAAGATTCTCCCAACCTTCCAGCTGTAGCCCATTTGGTCCAGGGTTCGGAAGATTCCAGCCCAAGTTTTTGTGGACTTTTAAAATATTTATTCTTGATACGTGGGCGTTACTGGCTAAGCCAGCATTTATTTCCCACCTCTAAATGCTCAGGAGGACAGTTAAGAGTCAGCCACATTGCTGTATAATAAAAAACAGAAAGTGATGAAGAGACTTGACAGCATCTGTGGAGAGAGAAACAAGTTAATATTTTGAGTTTGATATGACTCTTCAGAACCCAAGACAATGTTGTGGTCGGGAGTTGAACGTAGGCCACAGTAGGGGAGGATGTCCATCACCAAGAGTGGCTTGGCAACAGCACTACTGATGGAACTGGTTGGGTCCTAAAGAACCTAGCTGCTAGACTGGGTCTGCAGGATCTAAGAGGGCAAAAGAACAACTTGACCTCATTCTTACCAATCCGCCATATAAGCAATCAATAAGAGTGACCACTGCACAGTCCTTGTGGAGACGACATTCTGCTATTACATTGAGAATACCCTCCATTGTGCTGTATGGCACTATCACCACACTAAATGGGACAGCCTTAAAACCTGATCTAGTCACTTAAGACTGACCCACAGTGCCTCATAGATGTCCATCAGCAGCAGCAGCAGAATCATGCTGCAACACAATCTGCAACCTCATGATCTAGCACCTCTCCTATTACCATCAAAATCAACTTTGTTTTCATGGCGAGCTCAAGAGAACATGTCAAGGGTAGCACCAGACAAACAATGACATATCAACCTGGTGAAGCTACCAAACAGAATTACTTGCATGCCAAGCAGCAAGTGATAGAACTAAGCAATCCTGTGACCAACAGATCAGATCGAAGTTCTGCAATTCTGCTATATCTAGTCGTAAATGGTGGTGGACAATTAAACAACTCAATGGAGACAGAGGTAGTAGGAACTGCAGATGCTGGAGAATCTGAGATAGCAAGGTGTAGAGCTGGATGAACACAGCAGGCCAAGCAGCATCAGAGGAGCAGGAAGGGTGACGTTTCGGGCCTAGACCCTTCTTCAGAAATGG